TAGTAGTGGCTGAAGCAGTAATTGCTGTAGCGTCACGCTGAACTAGTGGAGAATTTGTTATGGCAGAGGAAAGCAAGTACGGCAATGGAGTTGATGTTGATGCCATTGTGGTAGGTACAACGGTGGTGGCGATGCCATCATTAGACATGTTGTTTTAACAATGATGAATCTTATAGTAGAAGTAGAAAGTTGTGGCAGTTGTTTAAAACGGCGGCGACAAAGAGAAGTAGAATTGTGATGATAAGCTCACGATGGTGAAGCTTAGGATTGAGGAAGACAGCAGCGGCGGTTTACAACGGCGGCAGCAATAAAAAAAATTAGTAGAAAATTAAGTTTAAAGATCTTATTAATCTGATACCATGAAATAATTTACAAATGCTTGATTTTATTCATTAACAATAAATAGTATTTATACAAAACTATGTTTCTTTACGTATGTTTCCCCGGTTAATACTTATTGACTTAACCAAGCCTAATTGTTTATGTTATAAACTTCAAAAATTTTGCGAGACAATAAAAGGCCTTCTTTTGTTTTTTTAATAAAAGATCAAATTACCCTTTAAAGTATAATCTTTCACTTATATATTTATTCTATTAGAATGTTATCATTGCCACACGTCGGAAGTTGAAAAATGTGTGGACTAGTATATAAAGTTCACCACTTTCTCCACTTATTAGTTTTGAGTTAGAAACCCATATTTCTTAAAATGTTATATAAGCAAAGATTAGAGATGCTTAACTTATATATGGGTTGTTTTTAATTTGGTGTATTCCCAATATTATATCCAAGAATTGACTAATTTTCTTTAATAGAGTAAGTACGATTATTTTTTTCTCTTTACGGTTTGCAGATTGTATAGTTGGTTATGAGACTTGAAATGTTAATAATTATAGGTGGGGTTATATTTCAATTATTTTTTGTACTGACAATTTACGTTGTAGTTAATGTTTGAATTTGATGGTTTGATTTAGAAGCTATATGGGTAAGATTAGTTTAGTGTTCGTATGGTAATTGTGTGTTGTTTTGCGAAAGAGTTGTTAATAATTCACAAAGAACTCGAATGTGTTATCTATTCCAATTATGAAGTGTAGATATTTTGGCATATGCACTTGTAGAACTAACAGAAGCTCAAGTCAAGAAGGCGTAATATAATGTATTAAATGGAGTTACGATCTTGCAAAGACAAAGCTGTAACTTGTCTTGTTGATATCATGTAATAGTTAATTAAGACGTCCACAACGTGTTTTAGTAATAGATTTGTAGTCCATTAAACTAAAACGAAACGAAATACTATGATTGTTCTTACTTGAATACCAGACTCGAACTGATTATTCTGATTTGTTCCACTCGCGCAAAGATTTGAAAAGACGGAGGATACAAATTGATTAAAATATATTTCTCTAAACATACATCAACAACTATAGATATTACCTTATCTTTTCTATTGTCTCACCACCATCCGATGAATTGATATTGGTATCTTCTCCCATACTATCTTCTAGTTTAAAAAAGCAAACATAGCAAATGCAAGAGTACCTTCGACTGCGTGTTTGTGATTTAAGTAGTAATACAATCTTACTTCGTTCCTTCGACCATTAGTCTATTAAACCATACGATGGAGATTGCGTTAGTGGTATTTGAACTATGCAGGGGAAAACCGGACAGTCAAGATTGGCGAATAAGATGAAAATTAATGAATCACCAAGTTATAAACATTTACCAGTTTCTCTGGCTTGATCCCTCTGAAAAATGTATTTAATAACATAAATTCTCAAACTCAGAAGTTACTAAGTGTGGAGCCCTTCCTCTCTCCTAAGACGACACAAACGGCGATTGAGGGGGCAAAACCCTAATTACCGCCGACGGTAAGTTCTCGCTTCTCCGGCGAGATTTTCTTCTCCTCTCCACCTCATCGTGCTCCTCTCATGGCTAGGCGCAGTGCAAAGTCTCGATTTCCGCCCTCTCTACTAGATGTCACCTCGGTTGTAAGGGTTTCGATTTCAGTTTCGACTCCAGATCCGGCACCAAATCCACCTGACCCACCCGACCCCCCCTGACCCACCGGATCTAGATCACTGCCTCTTTCTACTTTCAATCCCCGACATCTCCTCCATCTCCCTTCCATCACGCCTTTTCATATTTTAGATCTGAGCTCTTCTCCTTCAAATTCACCCTATACATTGGTTTCTGATGTGGTCCGTTTGGAGCTCTTTGCTATCTATGTGGTTCTTTTTCCGGTGTTGTCCGGAGGTTCTCCCTTCGCGTCTCTGCTATCCCTTACTGATGTGTGCAGGCTATATCGGATTTGTTTCGGCTTCGAGCTAGTCTCGATCAGGTAGAATGTGTACTTCTTGCTCTCGTTCACTCATATCACTTTGATTTGTTGGTGTTCTAGAACTCAGATGATATTAAGATTAGCTATAGCCATTCATGGGATTTGTGAACAATCTAGCCGTCTTCCGTCTATGGAGTCTTCAAACGTTATGGTTAGAACCAGTTTTACTATCTTTATTAGAGTCTCATCCTTTGTGGGTGCATTCTCAAAAGATTTGGTATGCTTCTACGATCCTATATATCGTTTGGTATGTGTTTGTGTGGACATTCATTGTCATGTTTACTCCTTTATGGAAGTGTTCTTTCTTCCCAATCCTTTTTAGGTGGGAAAAGTATCATTGCAGGGAGAATAATAATAATGCGTAAGAGAAGTGACCAATCTAAGGATGACATCAATGTTCTCCTCCAAGGCCTTTGTGCTGTCTCTTTTCGAGACCTTACTTCACTTTTGGCCAAGTCCAGCGAAGACTCCCTTTCATCGTTGCAGTTTCTGCTTCAAGATCCAAACACAGCTAGCCGCATCTATGTTTTCTCGGTTTTTGTTGCCGAGACATTGGTGATCAAGAAGGCTCCTTTAGCTGCTGTATGTTCAGGTCCAGTAACGCCGAATGTGTTAAGCGACCCACAAGTGCTCATCTCCTTTATCAACTTCAAAGGAATAATGATTGAGCTTGAAGATTGTTTCTTCGAGATAAGCTTTTTAACCTTCTCATCCTCAACTATCTCTCTCTTTTTCATCTCTTTTTTTAGTATTGTAAGAGTTGTTTTATTAGGTGATTATACCTTGATGGTTGTAAACAATTTCTCCATGTGAAATTTGCAGTTCGTGACAAAAAAAAAACATAAATTCTCAAACCTTTGAGAATGTTCTGTTACTATGCCCTCCTTTCTGATCTCACTTGTCACTGCTATATATGTGTTATTGGCAAGGAGAAGTTACTAATTCGATCTTTTAGTATCGAAGAGTTCATAGTGTGGAATCTAAAGCAGTGAAGTTTAATAGCACAATATAAGACCATATACATTGCACTTAGTGAGTCAAATAACTTGTTATAATATAAAACCATATACATTGCATCAAGTGAGTCAAATAACTTGTTGTAATTGCAACTTCTAGCAGCTTTCTCATGCACATTACAAGGCAACGTGGCTTTTTGGTGTATACAAACTTTGTATTAACTTTCTTGCCTACACAATCTTTATGATACTAAAGATTTATTTAAGTTAAGACCACTTCGTCAATCATCTGGAACGACGGGATCGGGATCCACCAGTTCTGTTGGTAAAGCGGACTTTCCATCGCTGGATTCGGCGGAAGCCTAGTGGATTAACGATTCGACGGGTCGTGGTCTGTTGATTCGCTTGGTAGAATTGAAGATTAAGTTTTTGGGATTGAGGAAGAAGAAGAAGATCCGCTTGAAATTTTCTTTTAGTCGCTGAGAAAAAAACGCTGTGTTTGTTTGAAAGGGTGACGTGTCAGATAGAAGGACTAGCCACGTGTCCAAAAGATGGAGAGTGTTTGTCTTCTTTTATATTATAGAAGATTGAATTATATAGATTGAACCAATATAATAGAGTCACTCATAAAATTAAGGGTTAATTAGTTCAATAACATGTTTGAACATATAAATTAATAAACTAATATGTGTAATATTTTAATTTAGTAACAAGCAAAGAGAAGTTAATTTTGACTAATTTATCCATACAATAAATTTAATTAAATTTGTCATCTTATTGCACATATATTGCAAATTGATCTCTTAATTAAAAAATAATATTAGTTTAAAAAAAAATAAACTTAAAGTTGACATATATGAAAATACATTTATTTTCCGTAATTTTTCGTTTTTTTTGTAAATGTATATTGTTTAAAAGATGAAAATTATAAATTATATAGTGAATTATATCACAAGTTATATATCATTGAAATAAATAGTGAACTATTTCACATAAATAGTGAACTATTTTTCTATTTAAATAAAAATAGTGAACGTTATTTTAATATAATTAACTACTTATTTGACATAATGAATTATAAGTTTCACACATTGAAAATGCATAATAGTAAATTATTTTTGAATATATTTAACTATTTATAGAATAATGAACTATTTGTGGATATAACAAATATAGCTCATTATTTGTGAATAAAGTTAAATATATATAGACAACTATATATTTATATATAGCTAACTATACGTGAATATATAACTAACTATATTTAAATATAGTTATTTATATTTCTAACTATCTAGATAATAGTGAACAATTCGTGAATATAACTAGTATAGTTGACCATTTGTGGACATAATTAACTCTATAAATAATTATTTGTTGATATATAGTTAACTACACGTAAATGTATATAAATAATTATATTTAAAAATAGTTAGTTATATATCTAACTATATACTCATTTACACACACAAAATATGAGTAGATAATACTGAACTATTCGTAAATATAACAAGTATAGTTGACTGTTTGTGAAAAAAATGAAGTATATATTTTTAGGTATATAGTTAACTATATAGTTAATCAAAATGAAAAATCTAGATAAGTATATTTAGATACATAGTTAACTATGTATATAAATATATAATTAGATAATTAATAGAAATAAAAATTCTATATGTTTTTTTTTGTTAACAAGTCTATACATTTATGATGTTGGTTTTTGCTTTTTTCTAATAATGCAAAAAAATAAGAATATTATTTATCTTTAATCATTTTTGGATATTAG